AATAGCTACTGGAGTCAACTAGTCTTCATAAAGGCCATCATTATCAGAAGATCTTGCTCTGTTAGCTTTTTAAAACAAGAATTATCAGTTTGGGCGCTCGACCACATGTTCTTATGTAAACTATGACGTAGATAAATTGTCATAAAACGTCATTTTGGTATGCCATTGGGTTTATAGGGAGAACCCGGTTCTCAGGGTTCCCAAGAGTTGAGAGACCCAAGATTTCACAGATTTTGATGGACTTTGGCGACTAAGAACCTGTGAAAGTTTCATCCTTATCCCACATTCCTATAAAAAGTTATTCCAGTTTTTCTTGTCCCAAACTCAACTGGGATATAGTATAGAATAACTGTGGATTTTTGACCATGCCATACATAGAATCATAATGAATATAATTTGGTCAAGCAGTTAATAATCTGCAAAACTATTATGGGTATTTTTAAAAATAATAATGATAATTATCTTTTGATTTCTGCATGACCTACTTTCAGTGTTATTTCTTACTTAACAACTGATTTCTGTACAATTATATACTGTTAAGTAGCTTAAGTTCAACAATAATAAAAGTAGAATTTACACTGTCTTTATTCGTTAAAAGTAAAAAACACATGATATACAGCAATAGATCATACACAAGGAGGCAACATAAATGCAAGACACTAAAATTAATAGTTCATGCGTGTATAATGGTGCATGATTAGTCAATCACATCACTATAATCATCTCCTACCATGGCTTTGAGATAATCAAGGAGGACAGCAAATGATGGCCGTTTGAAAGGATTCTATATACAGAGAATGAGTAATAGCAATGACCTCTAGCTTGGGAAAGTTTCACTGTTAATTAATTATACTTTAATTGTTAACAGCAAAGTTTAACATGTGAAATATTTCTACAATGAAAAATAACATGACTTTTTTCTACTAATTATTTGTTTGCAACATGAAATTTTCCAAATCTATGGTATCTGCTCAGCAAGTGAAGTCTATCATAATATAAATAATTGTAGATATGAGAATATGAATTTAAAAAATCTAAGCTGGTTAAATCTGCAAAATTTTAGCCAACATACTAATTTATACTTATGATTTATTTTGAACAGCCCCACAAGCCAGATCATTTGGGTCATCCACTCAAATGACTGTAGGCTGGAGAATTGTCTGCAGGCTCGCAAGACAGTATCAAAGCCCCTATACTGTAAAAGTTTGATGTATTTAGGTGATGATTTCTGCCAAAAACATGCTAAAGACCATGTATTTGACTATCTATACAGTACTACAGTTTTACGTGACTAATTCTAATTACATGCACGTGTACAAACTACATTGTAGGTTCAATTTTAGTAGGTTAACCTGCAATAGATACATGTACATGTGTAAGATGCTATTTAAATCATCAATTGAAATAATTGGCCAAAACATTTAAACATTGTAATGTATATCATACCTTTTCCCAACTCCTTGTCATTAAATCATAAATATTAGAAGGACATAATTTAGGCTTTTCTAACCGATATCCCTTTAAAACCTAAAACAGAGCAAGTGAAAACAAAGATAAAAATGGTTAAAATGGAGAAGTATAGAAAAAGAAAAAAACACACTTACTCCATCTAATATTTCAGGATTAGTAAAGGCTGGGTAAGGAATTTTACCACCAGTCCACAACTCCCACAACAAAATACCTAATGACAAAATGATTAATAGCATTAAGTACATGTTTTGCTTTTTTGTCTTGCTAATTGCACAAATTACTAATTTTGTTTGATTAAAATGATGTGCATCAATAAGAAAAATTCAGATTCAGTGCCAACTTAACTTAAAAATAAAATATTAAAATTACAAATAGCTTACCATATGACCAAATGTCAGATTTGCTGCTATATCTAGCATGAGTGATGACTTCAGGTGCTGACCACCTCACAGGAAACTCTGCACCTTCAGATGCTGTGTATTCGTCGTCAGGAACAAATCTTGCTGAACTAAAACCACCGACTTTAACAATATTCCTATCACCAACCAGACAATTCATAGCAGCCTGTAGGTGTGTGTAGAAGAATGGCGAAACTATGAAAGTTAAATTTTGGTGAAGGACATTAATTTTGTGGTACATGTAGCTGGTTAAAATTGGCTAATGTTTAGATGGGTGTGTATTTAAAAAACATGATGTAAGGATAACATGCAGAATTAAAGCATGGACTATAGCAAGATGAGAAATAACTTTAAAAAAACAAATGAAGCATCTGTGAAAGTGCTCATCATGCAAATGATATTTAAAAGATAAATGCAGCAAGCACTTCTATACTGACCAACAGGTGAGAACCCCCTGACTTAATTATTCACTCACCAAATTTCTGTGTATAAAACCAGACTGTTCAAAAAACTTCATAGCAGCACAAATCTGTAGAGCCATGTCAAGTATTATGTCTGTCTTATCTACTAAGTGTTTATTTTTACGAAGATACTGGAGTAGAGAACCT